TCAGCAACTAAACAGTAAGAGTGGAAAAGAGAATTCAATCTTTCAGGTTTAATCCTGCTACAAATTCCAGTGCTGTATACCACCACTCTGCCTAATTATGGGGCAGGAGGAGAAATATTCCTCTTCGCACATTTCACTTCTTTTAGCCTCCTTTCTAACTACAGGCAGTCCTAGGGTTACATCGGATATATGTTCCTATAGTGACATAATGCGATTTTTGCTATAAGTTGGAGCACACCTACATAAGCACCTTTGTCATTCACATGGAGCACCTACACAGCAATAATGAAGTGAAACAGTAAAAAAAAAATTAAAGATAACAATTCCTGACCTTTATTTGTGGTAAATAAATAATTAAAAACATAAAGCACATATGTACATATGTCAAAATAACGAATTTTTAAAATAAATACTATAAGTGGGAGATGGCGAGGTAACCTTGAAACAACGTAAGTCGAGTCCGATGTAACCCAAGGACTACCTGTATTCCACTTTAGCATTTCTTGAAAGCATGGACTGCTTTTTGTGCACTCAACATGCTGTCTGAACTGCTTTTCCTTGAGCAGTATTGACATCCAGTGGAGACTCAGAATAATTACAGGTGTGTCAACATCCCCAAGGACATAGCACAGATGGATGTTTGTTTTTGAGATAGATACCACACAATGAAGCAACAAAAATAAGTTTTCTCTACACACATAATTGAAATGGAATGAAAGGGAGCAAATGCATAGGAGAAAACCTGTGACCTGAGGTGAGGGAAAGAGTTCTTGGCTATGGCACCTTGTTGAACATCAAAATTGAAAATGTTTTCTCCCCAAAAGGCACCATTAAGAAAATAGAAAGACAGCCTATAGAATGGATGGATGTATTTGAAAATCAAGCATTTGACAAAGGACCTGTGTCCAGAATATGCAAAGAACTCTCAAAACTCAATAATAGATAACTACTTTCACACATGATGAAAAAGATACAGTTTTACCATTCTGACCAACACTACAAAAGTAAAATGGACAAAATACAATATATGACAGGATGTTGAGTTACTGGACATCAGACAACAAAGGACAGTGACGTAGAGAGAAGGGAGACAAACCAGTGGACCCTATGATTTACCCAGCTTTCTGCCTTGGGACAGTTTCTGTGTGGAGGGAGGGGGAATCCGGGCAGAGCTCAGTGAACTCACTTAGGCGAGAAGCCAAGAGTCTGGGGAGGTGAAGGCAGATTTCACCAAAACAGGATCAGTAACAGGAACAGAGTCTATTTTATTCTTATTCTTCCTTGTATTTCCAGCTACTCACATGAGGACTGGCACATACTAAGTATTCAAAAGATACTGGATGGATGGATGGATGGATGGATGGATGGATGGGTGGGTGGGTAGATGGATGGATGAGTAAAATGAGTGCAAGGAAAATAGTCCCAAGTGAGAGCAAGTTTTGAAAGCAAGATTCATAAAGGAATGAAAGAAAAATCTAGTTGATGTTTATGAACTATAAAGGTCCTATTCCAATATCTCATTGGTTTGTGACTTCTTTTATATGTACGTCAGCTACCCATCACATATTGTGTACCAACTCTGTTTGTGTAATTTTTAAAGTTCAGTGTAAAATAGAACTTAGTGGGGCACTCTGGAACGAAAAGCATGCACTCACTTGGAAGGCTTGTTTCTGAAATCCAAGAGGTGACATGCTTCACTGCTCTGTTTGTGTTTCTTACAAGTCCCTGAGGTTGTCTCCACTGATTCAGGGCAGGGCTAGACTGAAATATTTTACCCCAGCACAGTACATTTCTGTTGAAAGATTCCTTGACTCTTATCTTAATAATTCTATCTTAATACATTAGCTTTTCTGAGTTTCCCTGAAAACCTATGCTTCATTTAAATGGTGTGTTTTTGAATGGCACCAAGACTAGAAATTTAATACAAAGCTTTTCAGTCATCTCTCAAAGAGATTATCATGTTAGGGCTTTGGAAAGCCCACAGTGATCTAATAATTCCATTCTACCTCCTCCTGGGCACATTTCCACATCACATAAGCTTGGGCAACTGACACTTCAGTTCACCATCTTATGCAAACAGTCACATACGTGAGTGAATGCTAGCTATCAAAAATGAATTCCTATCTGTTCAAAGAGTAGGTATGGGGAAAGTATATTTTTACAATATTATACACAGCAATTAGAACTTCTGTTTTGTATTCATATTTCTTTTGTGTCTCACAAAGATGTATATCTTTAAATAAAATTTGGGAGTTAATAGAAAATGGTGGAATGAATCAAAGCTCTTAAGAAGTCTTTTCCTTACAGTGCCTTTAGAATCATCCAAGAGAGAAGCACACTCAATAACTGCCAAAACAAATGGAAGTGAACATATTCTTATTTGTGATGAATAGGATCAAAGCAACCCTGGCAGCCAACTTGAGCTACAAATATTGTCTTAGGAAAGACTTCTGCCAGAAGCCCTATGCCCCCATCCTAGTCCTTTCCAGCATAAGCTTCAGCAACAGGTTGAGACAGGATTTCTTGTCTGCCCAACTCCCCCTTTTGTCTAAATTGCCCTATACATTTAGTAGCCTTCTAGAGAGTCTCAGAGATTTAACACTCAGCCCACTTCCCTCCAGTCCAATGCCACTTTGCTCTCCAGTCCAGTGTTTTATACCAGGTCTCTGACTATCTTCACCCTCAGGCTTTGTTTGGATTTTTTTCCTGATCACTCAATTCTGTCTTTCAGATCTTGCTTTTCTCCCCAATCTTTAATCCACAGATCAATCTTGACCTACTTCTTTGTTGTTCCTGGAGCCTCCTCCCAAATCCAGCATCCTGGGTATAGGAAATTATGAGTATTTGAACCACAATAAGAAAATACATCACAACAACAAAAACAAGAAGAGTTCAGAAAATGAACTCTCAAAGGAAATGAGTAAGAACTATATATTCTCAACAAGATCAAAAGAGGAATGGCAGGTATAGGCAACATTGGATTTTGGAACTACTTCAGATTGATTCAGAGGTAGAAAAGTGTAGGAATTCCTATGACAAATCATATCAGTGAAAAAACAGATGGAGTTCAGGAAAACATGCAGGACCCATAACAAGAAGCAATAATGTAAGAGAAGATGAATGATGTGGAACTAAAAGTTTTAAAAAAAGTTACTATTCATTTCTGAAGAAAAGCATAGGATGAAATGTCAGGGCATATACTCAGATGTATAATTGAAGAAAATTTTTCAGAAAAAAACTAAAATAGGATATTGAAAAGACTTTCTATTTTCTAATCAAAATCAATAATAGTGAAGTAACCAAAATCTGGTGAAATCTTTAAATTTCAAGAATTTTTTTTTTTTTAGCTTCCAAGTCTAAAAATAAGACTAAAGTAAAAGAAGCCCAAGTCAGGACATTCTCAGGCTCCTCTTCTGTTACACCCCAGGCCAGAGATAATGGGTGATGACTTCCTAGGGCTGGCAGGGATGTTTTATTGGGCAAGCTGTACTCTAGAGGGACTCTGCTCTGCACAGTTCAATTCTCTGTCTTCAGGAAGCAGTGAGGGCATTATCCCGAATTCCCAGGTCTTGAATGAGAAGACAAAATGACTGCCAATGAGGTTAATTTTAAGGATAAACAAATGAGAGAAATGGGACATGAATTTACTGAAGGAAGAAGGATGATGTTAATAAGTCAACACAATGAAATCTCATAACCAAAGGAGAACACCTCTGTGCACCTATAAATGAGAAAGTCAAATTCTCATGTGAAACCACTTGCAAATTAAAGAATAAAAAAAAGCCAAAATGGTTAAAATTCTCCAAGCTGAGGTGAAAAAAAAAATACTACATTTGATTAAATAACTTTAAATTTATTATTTTGATATTGCTGGAATTTATGGTATATCAGCTGTTTTATAAGCACTACTAAAATGTGGCTTTTACTTTCCATATCTTACCTTTACATTCATCATTAATCTTTCATTAATTCAGCAAGCATACATCAAATGTTCATTGATCCAGGCCTTACTCTAGGTTTCATGGCATGCTTGAGCTGTCAGTTCAAATTGGGTCAAGATCAAGCACATCCTTGCTTTCAAGAGTTAGTTAGGTGAAGCTTTTGGTATGGTGAGCAAAGATGGTCAAGTTTCTTGTGTCTATGTGATGTAGCTGTTGTTAACTGAATTTTTTTTTTTGAAATGTCTATTGAAATTAAAATCCATTGATAGAGAAGATGGGACTGGAGCCAACTACAATGTAGGAGGACACTTCTGCCGTGGGAAGGACCAGGGTTGAGTCAGCAAGCAGAAGGTAGAAGGCTTAGGTGAGCTACTCTAAGCTTAAGGGAGAAAGGCACTTTTAATTTATTTTTTTATTTAGTTTGTTTTTCCCATCACCATTTATCCCCCATACCTTCTTCTATCTCCTGCAGCTGCAATTACCACAATTGTTGTTCATGACAATAAGTTCTTTCTCTTTTTTTGCTCAATCCCTCCACTCCCCCTGCCCTTCTCTCCACAGCTGTCAGCCTGCTCTCCATCTCTGGGTACTTTTACTTTAGATTCTTTAACTAGGATTGGTGTTTCTTTGCTTTATCTTACCATTTGGATGACAAGATGAGTCTAGGGGAAAGAGGCCAAGGAGGCCACTTGCCTGTTTTGTATCGAGGCCACTTAGGGCTGAGTACATTTTTAAAAAACTTATCATGGTTTTGTATGACCCAATCCAATTAAGAGGGCCAGGAAATTTTTACATAATGATTGAGGTCAAAATTCTCAGTGTGGCATTTCCATAAAAGTATTCTCAAAGCAACAAGAAAAAGTTTGATGTTAAAAATCTGCTTTTTTTTTTAACTGATTAAAAAAAACACTTTTGGATATAATATCAATACATAAGCAAATTAATGTATCCAGCAGCACTCTTTATTTAATATTGATTAATTCAGCATTTCTCAACCAAAATTGACCACACTACCTCTTCATGTGAAATGCCTATTTATATGTGGGAAACTATGATTGCTTATGTAATACTGGTTGAGAGTAATACAGTGACTATTGCCAGGAGTTGTTCTCATGTCTTCATAAAGCACTAATAATAACTATAGTTAATACACATTGATTGCTTCCCATATGCCAGGCACCATTCTAAATGCTTTATTTGTGTTGTCATTTAATAATCATATCATCACTATGTGATAGGTCCTGTTACTATCCCCACTCAACAAATGAGGAAACTAAGGCACAGCCAGATTAAGTAATTTACCCAAGAGCACTCAGTTTGTATGAGACACAAACTAGGATTTGAAGTCAAGCAGGCTAACTTAAGAATCTGGGTTCTAAGCTCAGCACTGGATTGCCTCCTGCCCAATGATGAATGTCTTCCTTCCAGTTAATAAGTGTCAAACAGCCAGAAATGTAGGTGCTAGGTCCTGGCCATCTTTTCATTTCTTTCCAACTTTAAGACTCCACTCAGATTAGACACTGGAGAAAATAACAAATATAATATAGTTCTTATCCTTAGACTAGTGACAATGAGGAAAGGAAAAGAGACAAGTAAACTAATAAATGAAACCCACTGTGATCCATACAGCACGGAAGGTATATATCCATGGATTTCAGATTACTTCACAACCAGTTGGCAAGGGCACCAGACAATCAAAATAGAAGCTGATCTTTTCCCCTCCTTTGCTAAAGCATGGGGTGATCAGAGAGTCATGAGCTGGGGCCAAGATACCTATGGTGTTGGAGCACTGTGGGGCTCAAAGAAATGGCTGTCTTCTAGCTTGCACAGAATTATTTCAGTGTTTTAACAACTGATATAACCATATAGCAGCCACATTTTTCTATACTATCTCTCACTGCTGCTCTGAAATAATCTATTTTTCATTGCATCATGCTTTCCTAAGTCTTTCTGCTCCCTTCTTTTGCAATACTCCCAAAGTCTATTGCAACACATTCATTTTTAGAAATGAACTAATTGATTTCATATTCATCGCAGATGGAAGCTTTTGAAAGCCAGTGATAGAAACTCATGTCAAACTATCTAAAGCAAAATAAGAAAATTTATTGATGGAAGTATCCAAACCACAGAGATGTGAATCCAAATTCATGAATGACTGGACCCTGGGGCTAGATATTTTCAGAAGTGACACAATTGTCTCAGAGTGTTTGCTTCTTTCTTTCCCACAACAGACAGACTTTTTCCATGTGCCAGCGTGCTAGCAGACCACTCAGGGTCACGACTTTACAATGTGAAACCAATTAAAACATTTCTAATAAGCCTAATAAAAATTCTAATAACTTATAATTTTCTAATAATTAGGAAAATATTGGGAAAGAACTCTGGACAGAACTAAGACACATATTCAGTGTAAATACATGTTTAGAGTGGGAGAAAAGCCTAAGTCCCAAAGAAAGAAAACTTATCAGAAAAATGTGGGTAAATTTTAAATTATCAATTGTATAGTATAAGAAGTGTCATACTATAATTTTATGCCACAATGTGGGTACTTGACAAGCTTATCTCATAGTAAAGAACCTCAAGTCCTTATGTGCCAGGAAATTTTGTAAGAATATGTAAAAAGGTATTTCCCATATCATATGAAGTGTTCTAGAAGATTTTATTGATATAGAGATACTTGAAGAATGAGTAGACATTTGTACGGGAAGCAGCACGTAATAATCTAGGGAGAGGAAACAGTGTATGAAAATTCAAGGTGGGATAAAATGGAACAGCAACATTTACCAGGTGCTTGGTTTATTCCTTCTTCATCATTCCACACAGGACTTGTGGTGACTAGGATAAAAGCAGAACATTGTCACATTCATCAAGCGAAGTAATAAAAAAGGAGAAACAAAGCAGTCAAGCTAGGCTAATGCTTAGAAAGCAACCTGAAGGTCTCAGGGCTTTAATGAAATACAAATTTGTCTTAGGTCATGGTCCAATTAGGTAGGAAGGGAAACAAGAAAGGAATCTCTGCTCCAGGCAGTCATCCAGAGACCCAGGATTCTTTCAGCCTATGGCCCCATTGTTGTCTAGAACATTGGTTGGCAAACTGCAGCTCGTGAGCCACATGTGACTCTTTGGCCCCTTGAGTGTGGCTCAGCATTAGAACCACTTCTTCAAAATAGACTCGCCTAGGCCGAAATCCAACTTCTACTCATGGGCCATGAAGTTTCAATCACACTGTATGTGCATGCCTGCACGTGGTATTTTGTGGAAGAGCCACATTTAAGGGGCCAAAGAGCCACATGTGGCTTGCGAGCCATGGCTTGTCTAGAACAGAAGTTCTTAAGCTCTCGTGTGCATCAGAATCACCTGGAGAGCTTGTTAATGTGTAGATTGCTGGGCCCCACCTACTTAGTAGGTCTGGGTGGTACTAAGCACATGCATTTTGAAGAACTTCTCAAGTGATCTGCAGCAACTGGTCTAGGGACCCCATTTTGAGACCACTGCTCAAGGGCCTGTAGGGATTCAGCTTGTGGATGGAAAAGAAGACCAGGGTTAGAGAAGACAAATGGCTGCTCTGAAATATCTTAATTCAGATGGCAAACATCACTTCTGTTCACATTCTATTGTCAAGAACTATTCACCTCAGCCAACCTAGAGACAGGAACTTTGGAAAATGAAGTCTAGCAATATGCCAGAGAAACGAGGAAAGCATGAATTTTGTGAACGTTAACAGTTAGCATTACAGAGCATAACTAAACTAAAAGCTTCAAATAAAACATGAAAAGGCCCTTCAATTTGAAAGGTGATGATTTGATTATTGAATTATGACAGATTTAAAAAATAATGGGTTTGTAGATTTTGAATCAGAGAACATTCTGATATTGTTATTCAGCTCTCTTAGTTTTGCATTAAAAATATAAAGATTTAGAATTCTTCTGGATATGTTTATTAGATACTTTGTTCACACACTCACCCCCAAATTTAATTTGCCTTGCATCTTAGTTTACTTTCTCTTTAGATTGAAGTAGGTTGTATAAGAATCCTTCCTGGAAGTAAGTAGACTGTACATACATAAAAAAATAAGCACATATGCTTAAATAAAAAGTGTTTTCTATGGCAGGGGTGGAGGGGATTGCGTCATCGAGGTAGTAAGCTTCATTTCAGTGTGGGGTTCACAATTCAGATCATGTTTTGCTAAAATCATTCTTGCCTTCTGCTAACATAATGACAATCTGAGAGATTAAAAGAACTCCCTGCTGCCACTGCATATGCTGTGCTCTTCATCCGGTGCCCAATCCATCCTGCGGTGGAAGCCAGGAGGACGCTGCCTCACAAATTGCAGGTTGCCTTCCCCTGTAGTTAATTCTTCCAGCTGCCTGTGCCTGCGGAACTTTCTTTCCAAAACTACAGAACAATAATTATTTTCTATTTTTAATCACGTGTCCACTCTCCAGGGAAGAAAGGAGTCTTGATGGTTTCCACACCGATGGAGATTCCTCATCGTCACCCTAGCCCTGCCATGGCTTTGACTGGTGCTGCTGTCAGTCACGTGAGAGGCTTGCACTTCACTCATTTTAATTTCAGTTTTACTGGGATTGCAATTTTTGAAAATAGCTCTAATTAATTCAGTGTCCTTTGCAGAGAGACTTAGTCAGAGGTCACAAATCACATGGGCTTGTAAAATTTTATGAATATGCAATAAAAATCCTGGGAAACTTTGGTCAAATTTCAGGCTCCCTGGATATATTTAAATTTTATGAGCAATTTAGCATCATATTAGATTAGTATAAACTGATTACAAGGAAGTGTATTTTGAGGTTTAGTGTTTACTCACAAACCAAGCTAATACTGGAGCGGTCATTTTCATAATGGGCTCATGAATGAGCAAAATCAAAGGATAGGGTGGAATCTGCTACTTATGTGCAACCAGGCTCATGGTTTCCTTTCCTTTCCATTCCCAGTACCTGGTGCTCATCCTTTGAGGAGCAGCCTTGTATAATGAAAAGAGCCAATGACTTTGCCATCAAGACACCAGGTTCAAGCACTGTCTCAGCAACCCACAGGCCTTGCATTGCTAATTTAATCTTTCTAAATTTTAATTTTATCATCTAAAAAAATGAGAGTTACACTGTTAAAAATGGAATCATCTCTGCTGCATAAAAAAGTGTTGGAAAAATATGTTTTATAAACTGTACATCTGGGTGGTTGTTACCACTGACTCAGCACCGAGCCTAAGACAAGCATTAAAAAGTAGATGAATAGTTTCCATTTTATCTTGTTTTTTCCAGAAGCTGCTCTAATGCAAAAGAATGAAACTAGATCACCAACTTACACCATACACAAAAATAAACTCAAAATGGATACAGGACTTAAACATCAGACGGGAAACCATAAAAATATGAGAAGCATCCACAGGCAGCAAAATCTCAGACATATGCCAAAAGAACTTCACTGATACTGTCCCTAGGGCAATGGAAGCTAAAGAGAAAATTAAAAAATGGGACTACATCAAAATAAAAAGCTTTTTTACAGCAAAAGAAACCATCAACAAAACAACAAAAAAGCCCACTGTGTGGGAGAACATATTTGCAATGTTACCATTGATTAAGGTTTAATCTCCAACATCTACAAACAGCTTATACAACTAAATAAAAGGAAAATGAGTTGATCCAATTAAAAAATGGGCAATGGACCTATTATTTTCAAAAGAAGACAGAAGGAAGGCCAAAAGGCACATGAAAACATGCTCAAAGTCACTAATTATCTGAAAGATGCAAATCAAAACAACAATGCGGTACCATCTCACACCTGTCAGAATGGCCAACATCAACAACTCAACAAACGACAAGTGTTGGCGAGGTTGTGGAGAAAAAGGAACCCTCGTGCACTGCTGGTGGGAATGCAGACTGGTGCAACCACTGTGGAGAACAGTGTGGAGTTTCCTCAAAAAACTGAAAATGGAACTCCCATTTGACCCAGTAATCCCACTCCTAGGAATATATCCCAGAAACTAGAAACACCAATCAGAAAGGATATATGCACCCCTATGTTCATAGCAGCACAATCTACAATAGCTAGAATTTGGAAACAGCCTAGGTGCCCATCAACAGATGATTGGATCAAAAAACTATGGTACATCTACACAATGGAATACTATGCTGCCATAAAAAAGAAGGAATTCTCATCATTTGCAGCAACCTGGATGGAATTGGAGAACATCATGCTGAGTGAAATAAGCCAGTCAATGAAAGAGAAACACCACATGACCTCACTCATTTATGGATAATAAAAAACATTATAAACTGATGAACCAAAACACAGATATAAAGACAGTAAAGCAACAAGCAGACTGTCAAATTACAGCAGGTAGGGTAGGGAGATCTGAGGAAGATAATAGATCAACTGAAGGACTTGTATACATGCATATAAGTACAACCAATGGACACAAAACTCTGGGGAGGGAGGGTATGTATGAGGGGGGGGGCAATGTTAAATTATGTACACAGATAATAAATGAATAAAAAAAATGGGGGGGGGGGAGTAGATGAAGTGTGCTCCCCTGCTTCCTTTGGCCAATCATCTCTTAATGGCAATGCCTGCCCAGCCTCACCAATCTAGTTGCTTCTGTATTTCACTCAGTCAATGCCCTAATTGAGACTTTGTCCCAAACCCTGCTATCTTGTGGAGACAGACTTCTAACACAGATGCTTACAGCTGGGGCCTTTTTTACCCCCACAGAATCTCCTTAAGACTTGCAATAGTTTTCAAAATCTTGGAATCATTCTGTGTGCATGGAGATTTGTGTCATTTCTCCACCCGCGTGAAGGCCAGTCCTGGATAATAAACATAGTTCTATCAGATGTGCAGGTAGTATCTCAACCTTGCAGCAGAGTGCAGAATGAAATTTGGTATAAAGTCATCTAGCTTTCTTGCTAGTTTATTCGACTTTGAACTTAGGAACTCAACTAACTTTCCTGAGTCCAGTTTACTTATCTATTGTATAAACTAGAGTCCCGGTGCATGGATTTATGCACTGATGGGGTCCCTTAGCCTGGCCAGTGCCCTCTTGCAATCTGTCCTGTGGAGATTGGGCCAAAACTGGCAGTCCAGCATCCCCTGAGGGATGAGGAGAAGCCTGTACCTGGGCTGGGTGCTGCACCACTCCTGCTTAATCTGACTCCACTGTGCCTGTCACTGCCACCACTTGATAGTGCTGCTGTGGAGACGGAAGAGGCTTGTGCTGCTGCACTCTCTAGCAGTGAGCCTGGCCCATGGATCAGCTGAGCAGCACTCCCACTGTGGAAGCACATTGACCATCAGTGAGGGCAGCTCCTGTGTTGAGCATCTGCCCCCTGGTGGTCAGTGTGCATCATAGCTACCGAATGACCAGGAGACCAGTCATTTGGTTGTTTGGTGCTCAATATATTGAAGTTATAATTATCCAAGTGGAACATGGACTAGCACAAATTTGCTGCTGGACAACATGATTTAGAAAATACTAGGTGTAGTAGAGGAGCATAAAATTCAGAATGAAATAATTTAGATTGTAGTCTCAATTGCATCTTATCACTATATGATCTTTGGTAAGATTATTTCCTCGAATGAACAAAAATACTTATCCTTCAATCACCATCCTTAGATAGAAAATCTTTTTGTCTATGGATGGAAAATAGGTAACAGGGGAGCAGGAATGAAAGTAGAGAGACCAGTTGGCAAGCTAAGGTGAGAGTCAAGGCAAGAGATAATGATGGCTTGGACTATGGTGATATGGTGAAGATGGAGAGAAACTAACAGATTTGGGTTATATTTTGGAGGTAAAGTCACAAGACTGCTAATGAATTAGA